AGTAATTATTTTATGGATTAAACCACAATATGCAAATTAATTACAATGCACTTTCAGAAAGTTATAGGATTGTTTTTTTTTTTATAATAATTATAGAAAAAAAAATATATAATATATATATAGAAAATTATTTTCATTTTTGACAATATTTAAAAATCCATTAAAGTCTCAATAAACCACTCAAGCTTCAGTTCTATAAAAAAAAAAACACTTTTTTGAAATCGATTGTTATTATATTATAAAAGTACAACATATTATTATTTGATAGTAATTAATTAATTATTAGTTAATAAATTTGTTAATCATTATATTACTAAAAAAAATAACTCATCACTTACATAACAAGTGTAATACAGTGTGCAATATAAATTTTATTGTTGTTATCTTCGATATCACTAACACCATTCGATTATTTAACTAAAGACTAATCGTTTTATTTTGACATTAATTTAGCGATTCGTTTTAGTCTCGTACATTTATTTTAAGTAAATACAATTTTTGATTTGAATACTTATATTATGTACAGCTCAGATTATTTAAGTCAATCATATAAATAATAAGTTCATAGAAAATAATAAGTTTATAGAATACAACATAATCATTGCATGTGCCTTGTTAAGGCACATTTTGTTTGATTCAAATACATTAAAATGTATCTTGTGCAGAATTGGATGGAACCAATAAAAATTTCCGTTTTAGGCAACCTCCGTATTATAAATCTTTAACTTTCCACAAGATTAAGATTTCAACATTTCCCGCCCAAAAATAATAATTTTAAATTAATAAATATCTTTATATCCAACCAATGGATACTTTGAAATTAATGTGCTTCAATTTAATCACGATGTCGCTGGATTTTCCTTGAAGCATTAGACCACTAATTTGAATGTTCTTATACCTAGCTTTAACAAACCAATCCCAAACTGCTTTGTTAATTTCATCATTAACAGTTTTCTTTACACTTCGTTTGCTTTTGCCATTTCCTAATAATATGATGAAAAAATATAACTTAAATAAAATTTAATTAATAATTAATTTTTTTCATATGAACCTACCTTTAAACCATTCTTATTTAACTTTAATTTTGTTTTTAATTATGTTATAAATTTGGATCTTCACATATTTAAAAGTATTCATATTAACGTTATTTCCTTTTTCACTTTCTTCGATAACTTTGATTTTTTCATTTAAATTTCAACAAATCTTTTCTGGTGTTATGAGAATAAGGAAGACGCGAGGAAACGGCAGATTATGATTATGAACTATGATTATGATGACATAATAAGCACTGTTGATAGAGATTCAAAATAAAGTGTAATTATCCATCGATACGTATTAATCGCTGACCTAAATAATTGTTTGACAGCAAAATGAAAGTGTGTACTAAAAATATTTCTGGTCATTTTACGATATGGTTTTCTATTTGATGAAGGTTTATATAATTTACGGGACCAAAAAATATCTTTCCATTTCACGTTAGGCCGGTTCCGTTTTATCAAGAGTTTAATCCTATGTTAAATTATAAGAACTGAACTGGACCATAATACATTTCCGCACAGAACAAGATTTCACCTTATCAAGGGTTCGGATAAGACAGGTTTTACTATACATCACAGTTCTAACTGCATGGAATATAAGTACATATTGTTGTACGACGGTGGTTGGCACAAGCTAAAATAGTACACACATATAAAGAATATCTAAGTACGTTTACTGAGAATTCATTGAACATACGTCTGATGATGCAGTAGTATCGCAGGTATGCAATAAGTATAACGTAAATAATCACCAATCCACGAGTAAACCTATATTTAATCCACGATACATTTCCACGTTTTCACATAACAGTATACTTATAAGTATAACCAGTGGCGCACACTTAAAAATAAATAAGCGTAGCGTATTGAATGAAAAAATGCCACCCACCCACAAAGTAACTTTCAAAAACAGACCTACAGGGACTTTACACTCACAACATCTTAAAAATAATTTAATAACTTTGTTAATAGTTATAATTTTAATATTAATAACATATTAAATAAGGTATCCAATTTTTTTTTTTTTCGTCAATTATTAAATAGACTTATATTTAAATATATATAATACTAATTTTTACCATAAATACAATTTATGCAATAACAATTATAATTATTATTGTAAAATTTAATAATTACATTTATGCACACTGAGACTCAGTTATAAACGTTTGTAAGCAAATAAAAATTAAAATGATAAAGAATTTTCTATAATGCTGCTATTATTGGAAAATGCCTTCAATTTCCTATGGTATTATGAATGATAAAATATTTATTAGTATTTTGTCAGTTACTTCTATATAAGCTAATAGTTAAATTATTCTATGGTTATGTTTAATATTTTTATACGTAGTATAATTATGATGTAAATATTTTGGCGCCGGAGCTCCATCTAACCACCAAAAAAATCAAAGGTAGCAGCTGCTACTCTTGAACTCTCCAGTGGGCACCACTGGGTACTACCATTTATTATAAAGTATAAGTATATTATACCTACGTACTGTAATAACCGGAAAATAAAAATATAAAAATAAAAAGGATATAATAGAGAGATTTAATGTTGGGGTGAGAGATATGTGTTATGGTATATTGTATTGTATATATAGTGTATTATGGATTGATTACTTTCCTCCTTGTTCAAGGGAAGGTTCTTGGAGTTACAAAAGTTCGAGAGCCGATCAGCGCAACTGGATAGTCTGGCAAATAAAATAAAATAGCACTTGCTTGTATTATAGCAGGTATTCAAATGCCGACAAGTTGTGCACTTATAACTATCGTAGGAGTGTGATAAGGTTGAAATGAAGTAAGACAATCACAGGATTTGATGCACTGAAATTGAACATTTTTTATCACTCGCACAGAAAATTTAAATCAAGCAAATGAATTATAAAAGTTAAATAGATGTACGTAGTGATTACTTGTCACAGAAGACTCCTTTATTAATCGGTGCGCACGCACTGACGACCTAAGATCAAGAGCCTCTTACGCACACACCGGTGGCTTATGGGCAAGAGCTCTAGGAGAGTTGTAAATCCTCGTTATATAGTAACGTTTGGCAAGATTGACCTTGGTCTAATCCTTTCAAGATGTGACCTACTTATGATATCGATGATTGTATGGTTAGACCAATATTATTTGATTTGTGTCGTGTGTACGGGTATTATTATTTTTTTAAATGGTTTAAAATCGAATGATGTATAATTGATTTGAACAGTATTTTACAGTCGAATGATGCACATCATTATAGTACCTAGACGCCATGCCATTGTTAAAACGTATAATGCCTACTGTGAACACAGATATACTATACGTCACTGTGGTCATTTGCATGCAGCTCGATAAAAACAATTAGAAATAAAATTTAAAGTTTTCTACTATTTTTAATTGGTTTTTATCAAGTTTAATGCAAATTATTACAGTGACGTTTAGAGGCTGCGTCCACATAGGCACTATCGATTTTAACAGTAGTGTAGCGTATAGAAATAATGTAAAATCGATGTCATTCAAATAGGTTTAAAAACACGCATCGATTGTTTTGTACATCTGTCGGTAGGTATTTCTTGCGATAGAAACATGTAAAGTGAATCCTTGGTCAAATTGGTTTTTTTTTTTTTTTAACTACAGAGAAACGGCTCTTGCGTCAAATGTCAAAAAGGTTATTAGAATGTATATTTCACATGGCCGTATAATATTTTTCAACTCACGGATCCAGCTTAGTGAATAATATTGGGGTACTATTATTATACGCGAGGGTGAGAGCTGGGCGTAAACCGAAGTGTGTGTTTGAAAATGTTATGTGCTCTAGCCCCTTTAACAACGTATTATTCATATTTTTATTACACTTTTACATTTACTAACAATAATTATTAAGTAAAATATGGCATATACAATATTATAAATTGTGTATAATAAAATATTACATAAGACATATTTTATCGGCCTTATTAAGCACAACTGCTGGTTAGAACATTTTGTCAACTGTAAAAATAACTTCGAAAAAAATAATATATCTAATAAAAAACTAAGTATATAATTAAAATGTGATAATATGTTTGGCTTATGTACAATACTAACCAACCGTACACTGAATAAATAAATTCATGGAGAACTTGCACAAGAATACTGCGTTAAAAAGTGTTAACGTTAAACTGCATGCGTTCTAAGTTTACAAATTTTGCACGAACTCCATTTATTTTTTAAAGGAAAACCTAATATAGTGACAATCCACATGAAAGGAATATATTATTATGCAATACAATTTGAGATGCATCACGAAATACTGTATTTGAAGGGTACCTAGGTAATGAATGTGAACTTGAATCGTAAATTCCGAGTGAAAATTATAATTTTGAAATCACAAACATTAAAGAATAATTATAAAGGAGAGAAATTAGATTGATATGATATTTAATTATTAATAAATTATAATTGAAGGTTTGTATGTAAGATTTTCGAACCCCTTTAAAATATCAAATATTTCTACACACTTACATACAAAATAAAATAACACACAATTAATACTTAAACAAAACTGCTAATTTTAGTATCGGATACTAAACAATTAGCGAAACACTATTAATCTAGTAGAACAATATTGCCGTAAACTTATATTTATTTAGATAAATATTTAAAATATAAATTAATAATAAACAATTTGAGATTTGATAAATGATAATATTAATAAAAAAAAAATCTTTGTTCTATTTCAATTAAAATATTAAAGTCCGTGATCTAAAAAATATAAACAAAATTTGAACGCAAAGAATCATTGCGATGATCAAACAATATAAAATAATCATTTTAAATTATATAATATTATAATGATATTTACATATTAGCTTTATAACTGTACATATTTTCTATGGGAGATATTATATTTAACTTATGATTTTATTTACTAAATAAGTTTTTAAATTAAAAATGAAAGATGCTTATGTTTATGTTTTTTCTCTTTATTAATTACAGATAATGTGAGACACATTGGTGCAGTCTTGGGAGATAAGGCTGAACTGCCATGTGATATTCAAAATATCAAGAATTCAACAGAGTGGCCTATTTTAATAATTTGGTATAGAGGACAAGATTATCCCATTTACAGGTAGGCAAGTTTTTAATAACTATTGTTATCAATAAAAATATAAATTATTCTATATATATATAGGTTACATAATTTTAAATTTGTATTATTTTATTTTGTGGTAAATTATAAATAAAAAAATATTTATATGGATAAACATATAACAAGGTTTATGAACAATTTTCATTTTATTCCTGCAGCAGACTTAGTATCTGTTTTATCAGTTTCATTTGGCCAATTACAATATTGTGATTATTGATACCTAGCATACATGTATACAAAACGTATTTTTCTTATTTTTTAATTATTTCACAACAATTTGCAGTTACCGTTAGATTATAAGCATGTTATGTTCTTGGTTAGCATAATATGTATATAACGAGTTAAGTTTACATACTTCAGTCAATCATTTATGAATGTTCCAGACAGCAAGTAATAAGACGACGTCAAAAATATGCTTGTTATTTTCAATTACATCTCAGAGTTAATGATGGCTTAATCCTGAGATAAATAGTGATCAATGTGTAGAATTTTTAATGTCGAAACATAAAATAGAGAGAGAGAGAGAGAGAGAGAGAGAGAGAGAGAGAGAGACAGACAGAGACAGAGATTGTAGTTTGCACGTATAAGATAAAAGTTTATTAAAATCTAAAGTTAAATATGAATTTGACGCAATATGCGATACATGTTAAGAGATTAATAACAATAATAATCATACATAATGTATTAATATAATGAAATAGTGATGGTATGGTTTGGTTAGGTAAACCATTCACCAAAAATACTTTTAATCACTACTGTGGATAGTATCATTTTATATAGTATAAATGATTATATTTAGAAAATGAAAATGATAGTATGTTAACTAATAATAAAAATTCTATATAAAATGCATAGATAAACATTTAATTTATATTTTAATATATTTTCAAAGTTCTGATTACATTTTTTATTATTACTTTTTCTTTTTTTTTTTGAAGAAATTTTCAGGCTAAATATCTTGAGTGTTAGTAACAATATAATTTAAAATAAGAATTACTAGGAAACCCAACTTTCCCTAAAAGATTTTTATTTGCACTATTAAATAAAGCACAAATTCAATGCCTATGATAATATTAACTCTCAAATTTTACGAGTATTAATTTTTAACAAATTTAACGTGAGTAACCATGAAATATGACATAACACTAAATATTTTTTATACATTGAATATAAACAGTGTGGACCAACGGGAACGCTCGTTGAGCAAACATTGGTCAGACCAAACATTGGACGAAAGAATTTACAACACAGAAATCAAAGGATTCAACGTCTTAGTTATCGAAGACGTGCGTACATCAGATGGTGGCCAGTACAGGTGCCGGGAGGACTTTAAGTATTCTCCTACGCGCAACAATTTCATTCTACTCGACATTATAAGTAAGTACTAAGCCGAGTAGAATTACCTTGCTTCAATACAGAGTAATTAATTGAAAATTATTGCTAAATTCGGTCTCGGATTAGGCGTAAAGTATAATGGTCTCCGTACAACGTGTTGCTTATATGTTATATGACTTTTCATAATTTTTATTGTGACGTTATCGAATAAAGGAAAAACTAAAATTTAACTAAAAATTTCAGTGACGATTATTAAATTATATTGTTAAAATCATAAACTAACGATTTTTCTGTAATAAATAAAATGTTATCGAATTTAATCAGTAAAATTATAACAGTTGCGTTTGTGTTATGCTGTTTATTTAATTTTCATATATTTCTACTAGCATTTCAAAAATCAAAATACGTACCATTAATTAACCGACTTCCAATCGCACTAAAATAAATATTATATATCTGAACGCCTATCGGGTATTTTAGCCAACGGAGTATAACAACGAGTTAGAAACGAAACCCTTTATTAAACAAAAATATGCATATACATATAATACAAACAATTTCGGAAGTCTCTCAAAACCAGTATTACAGTATATTAAAGACACCGAAAACGTTCTCCCGACTTTGCCATTTTGGTTCTTACATTATACAAAATATACTATACCTCAACCAATTTTCTTCATTGGCCTATAACACTACGTTTGAATATTGTTAAATCAACAACATTTAAGTTAATTCAATTTCATAATATTTTTAGTGTTTGTCAACACATAGGTATGAAAACAGTTATAAACATTAGTTAATACTAGTTACATATTTTAACAATTTCAACAGAAGGATTAATATCAGCACGAGTTTCAATATGAATTATAGATTATGGGTAGTTTTTGCTGTTTTCTATAATTTTCCAAAACGATATAACGGTGAAGCTCAAACCCTGAACGTTTGGTCACGTAATCACCACAGAAAAACCATTATAGAGACATTTATTAAAGTTCCGCGCCCAACATATAGCAGCTATTTTAATAAAATATAATTTATTATTTTTCACGCAGTACCGCCGAGCAGATTGGAAATTTTAGACAACGAAAATAATGTCGTCTGGAATTCCACGTTACCACCCGTCATGGAAAACCGACCGTTGGAAGTTGCATGTAAAGCATACGATGGTACGTATTAACAGTTATGTTTATTAAGAAGAAATTCATAGGTGCGACCGATCTGCCTAATCAGTAATGAACAAATTTTCAATGATTTGATGTCCAGCTTGAATGCGTGGGCCGAAATAATAAATTATTATAGTCATATGGTATACTATTACAGTTAAATAGAATTGTAAGCGACTAAACAAAGCGACTCGCGAAATACGTTTCGTCGTTCATATTGCGCTTAAAACATATGCAATGTATTTTTTATACGTACGAGTATGTAATATTTGATATAGATACAATCCATCTACTTGATCATATAATTACGAACAAATATAATTATTTTTAAAAGTAGTTGATTTTAATTTGTTCTGTCCTTCGTAGATATGTACATTAGCGCTTTTTTTTTTAATTTATAAAAGTTTTCCACAATTGAACTCATAGTGTTGTATACATTAAAAAAAACATAAACTTTTATAATATGCATAATAAATTCGAATAAGAAATAATTTGCTGGGAGTTATATGTACATATCATACATTTAAATACAGATCAACGTTTTATGCTATTTTCCAAATTTAGACAAAAGGAGTACAAATATATGTTATAAAATCACTCAAATCTATTCTTACATAATACAATCAGTCAAATATCAAAAAAGAAAAAAATATAAGCACTATAAACTGGTATTGATAACCATCAAATTTTAAATTTAATCACACGATTTGCATACGATTAATAATTATAACATATTTACTGTTTTGTATTTTTATAAATAGAACAGTTACCTTTTAATAAATTATTGACTGGTTTTTGAACTTTTTAAGTTGATTTGTATCAACATTTATACAAAATACATTTATATATTGGTACATAATTTACGTACTATGTAAAAATTAGATTATTTTTGTCGATTGACACTAAGTAACATCGGGTAATTGAATTTTATTAACACAAAACTTAATTTGTATTAAAAAAATTAAAATGAACAATATTTCTAAATACCAAAGTTTCTCTGTTTTTTTCACTCAAAATACAATTTATGTCATTATTAAAGGACAATGAACATTGAACACAATTGAAGTAAAAGGTATTCTCAAAAAATCGAAGATTTTATTTATAAATAAAACCGTATACGTGTAAACGAAATGTATATGTTACATCGTAAAAATTAAGTTAGGTGTGAATTAATATAAAAAATATTAAACTTACAGCCACAGTATATATATATATATATATAACTATTAACATACATATGTTATATCTTATTCAATTAAAATTAATTATTTCAAACAGAGAAGCTATTGTATGCATCAAAGTAAAAAATAGTATTCCAATATTCATAACAATATTTTTTCAAACAACCAATACAGTGAAATGGTAACAATCGTATATTTCGTTTTCATAATACTAAAAATCAATAAATATCTTAAAAACGTATAACATTTTTAATAAAATATAATGAATTCGGTAAAAAATTCAAATTATTGCGAATTGTAAATTAAGGACTAATGAAATTAAATAATCAGACAACCGTAATAAAAACTATTTTATTTGTCTAATCCACTGTAAAAATATACTGTTAATAAAAATATATTAATTATACGATCATATAAGTCCTTACCCTTATACTAATACAAACGATTAATTTCAACAGTACATATTAAAATAAAAATTTATTTTATAGAATCAGACACAAAGTATAGTAAATATTTGAGTTGTGTTTCAAATAAAAATAATAAACATATTATTTTTGTTGCTAAATGTGTTCTCTTTTTGAATTTATAAATACTTTCACTGAGAAAAGTAATCTAAGTCTCACTTTGACGTTAAAAAGTTTAAGCGTATGAAAATCAATTAGACATTTTTATACCACTTAAAATTTTATAAAATGAGATTAAATGAGATAAATGAGATTCGAACCTCGATTGCATAATTCAAAACAAAAATAATCATCAAGCAATAAAAAAATATATAGAAAGTTAATGAAGTACATCTACTTTTGTGTTTCAAAAAATATAAAACATTGTTTGAAACGAAATTTGTTATGTGTAACTTATGTATGTACTTATGTTATATATTAGAGTATGTTAAAAAAAAATACTTATCAAAATAAAAAGTAACAAATTATAATTTAATGTCGGAAGTATCGTCAACACGGACAGCTTTTACCGATCAAGTTTTCAACATTAATCTCTGTATACTGTTAGGTATTATTTATAGCTACAATATTAAAATTTGTTTCGACTGAATAATTTATAAAAAATTAAAATTAAAGATTTGATGTGAAACTTAATTCTTTTAAAATCAAACTATTATTTGAATTTCCTTAAGTTTATAGCATTGTAATAATTTTATTCAATTTGAAAGTTAATGAGTTTATATTTAAATTATAGAAACGTAAATAAATTATGTTTCTGAGTAATTAGCTCAACCATTGTATAATGATAATAATAATAATAATAAAATTACTCCCAAGATAGCTTTAGGTTTAATGTATGTAAAGTTAACTAAACACTATTACAATTTACAAATTGTTGTCAATGAATTAATCTTGTTGCAAAGACCTGAAAATAATTAATACTAGAATTGTGTTTAATATAATGTGTACTTGTAATTTTGAACATATATATTTATACACACAGAATATATCTTCAATCATAACTTACAGATATAATCCTATTATGAATATAAATAAATAAAAATAAGTACCTATTTTAATCGTTTTTATTATATCTCTATGTGATAAAAAACTTATCGATAAGAGAACCATTGTAGTTGAAAAAAAATCAATACATTTAATTTAAACATCACCAAAGTGTAAACTGCGATTAGTTTCGTTGTTTTGAGTAGACAAAAAAATAAAAAATAAAATAAGTAGTGACTGCTTCAATATTTATAACAATATATTAAATATATTCAACGAACAATAAAATAATAGAAATTTTAATGACCATTTTAATGACGACTATTAATAAACAGGGATATTCAATAGGGATACATTAAATAAAAACATTATGTCTATGTCTTTCAGTAGTGTATCGTAAAATAAATAATTAATAAAGAAAAGCTACTAATAATATTATGTTCTAACGAGAAAAAAAAATTGTGTTAATAATGTCCAAAACGTATTTTGCGGTGCACAAAGTGAGCACTGGTAAAATAAGTATATTAGTGTGAAAAAATATGTTATCAAAATAATATACTTGGAACTGAAAGATCGAAACAGGATCACAATGGTCCCACGTCTCCGTGCTAAGCGTACCCCACAAGCATGGAGGACAATATAGTTTTATTTAACAGAAAATGTTTGCGTTTCAATTAATTTGCAAGGGGGTGAATGGTTTTTTAACGAGCGCACTGGCCATCAAACGGAACTGGATTGAACTGTTTGTGCTCAACTTCGTTCAATCATTATGATTAAATTATGTTTAAAGAAAAAAAAATGTTTTGAAAACAACGGGGAAATGTTTATAATCAGTGTTGAGCCCAGATAACTAAAATTTTATCTAGATAAAGATACAGATGAACTAAAAATATTTTATTTAGATGAAGATAAAGATAATTTAATTATACTTTTATCTTGATAAAGATAATAAAGTTAACTTTTTATCTAGATAAATTCGAAATAAATTTTATATTTATTACCATAATCAATCAGCAATATGGTTGTGATATTTTAAAAATCGACATAGTTACAACAGACTACATACAGTAGAAGTATTTCAGATTTAGTAGGCAACTGTAATAATCAATTAATTGGTACAAATTATTATAATTCAACAACTTGTACAATAACACAATAAATAGTGAACATAATAACCACAGACTATTGATACTACCTATATTTAATAATTATTTTACTGAAATTATAAATAAACAAATTATTATATTAGTAATAATAACATGAAACTATTCAAATGGTTGGATAACAAATCAATGTACATGATATCTTCTTTGCGTTCTCTAAATAATACCCATGCAGTAGAAAGAGAAATAAAAGATGAGAAGGGAGTACTACCGAAATTCCTTGTCCTAATTGGTTACAATATGACGTTTATGAGTACTTACATCATATTTTATGAGGAACTTGTCCATATCAACATTCAACGCAATTTGAAAATTGAAACAATGTTGGTATTTGGTGCAGAAAAGCTTTAACTTAGCAGTTAGCACAATTGCGCTATTTAATAATAACAATTATTTAATTTATTTAATTTTGAAACTAGTTATACCAACTTAAATGTTTAAGCATTAATACAACGTCATTAAATTTGTGAGCATAAATGATATTATATAGAAACGTTCTTAGTATTAACAAAATGCCAAAATATATTGTTAGACAAAGTCACAGTTAATTTCTATAGATAGGTCGATAGGTGTATACACGTTATTATATACTTATTAAATTTTGGAGACTAAAATATTTATTATGTTTCTCCTATTGCATTATTGCTTCGCCATGTACATTGTAATATAAATAGTCTTTTATCGAACAATTCATCGAACTGAGTGGTAATGTCCATGGGACTGCATATAGTACTTTAGACTGGTAGTGCAGTAGCCAGGAGGTATTATATCAGTATCATATTTCATAATATCGTGTTATTTGATTATTTCCATGTTTTATTGGAACAAATATTTTATTTTTAGAACAATAATCGCCAACTATAGCTATTCTTCGGAACAAGTAATAGTAAACACATCAATGATAAATTAAAATAAGTACTCAAATAAACACTATTTTTGATAATATTATTTCATATACCACGAATTATACCGATTAGCGAATAGTGATTACTGTATAAAACAATTATAATAATAACAAACAAATATGTTTACTGTCAAGCACTAGTATGGACAATTTTTGGAAAACTGAAAAATATCTTTACGATCACGAATAATTTATCTAACCATCTAGATGAGTGACTTTTTTAACTCGAATAATTTTTTCAATAATTTTCTACGGTTCATTTTTTATTATCTAAATAAGATAAAGATAATAAACAGTTTTATCTAGA